TTGAACTATTGAATTGTGCTCCTAACACTGCCCAGCACTGCACCCTGGTTTGTAAACTGAGTGACTGATCATTCCCTTGGAGCAATACCGACAGCAGCTCTATAAAGAAAATGTTTAACACTGGGTGACGTGAAGCCATGAGCTTGTGCAAACTTCAAGACAGCTGATTCGGAGGCTTGCCTTTGGCTGTTTCATCTTAGTGTTAAATTGTACTTGGTTCATTAAGAAAAAACTCCTCATGAACCCTCTAACTTCTAGCAAATATGAGGCAGTCAGTAGAACATTGCTGCACAGTGACACAATTTACATCTTTGACACATTAGACTTCACATGAAAAGTGACATCTTCCAAGGAAAACAGCTTGTTTCAGGATAATATTCTAGGTTTGCAGAAAGATTTTTATTTTGTTGTTTCAAAATAGGTTGGAAAGACACTAGAAGATAAGGATATACGAAAGACCACAGAATGGAAAGAGAAGTACTTCCTGTGGGAATGATGATTATTTTGTAGTGCCAACTGCTATGAGAAAGCAGTTGAAACATCATTTTGACCAGTTGTAATAGTAAACAATTATTAGAATTAAGAGGTATCAGTTTTCACTTTTGTAACATTAAAATTACATAACTACAAATCAATGTTCCCTTTTCCACAGTATTTTTTTAGTGAGAGACTTGATTTAGGGAAACCCCACAATGATTCACACTGTGATTTTTTTTCCCCATTATTCAGTCAGGGGTGTGGGTAGAAGTCATTAGAACATGTAACCAGAGATAGCTAGGGAAAAAGGGAAATAGCTTCAAGGGTCAAATCCAAGCCCTCAGTGAGGTACAAAGTAAATCAAAATCACTGAGACAGAAAATTGTTCAAGGATGGGAAATTCTTCTGGGGAAATACATCTCCTCTTAACGCCTCTGCCTAAATATCTTTTTCAGTTAATGCTGAAGAGGGAAACAATGCTGGGTAGATCTCTGGCAGTGCTTACATTCTGGTGCAGACCTAGAGAGTGAGGAGCAGTCAGTAGAGTACCTAGGGAAGGGACATTTTGAGATCTCTTGTCTCAACACAAGAAACAAGGGTGCAGTTCTTTACATAAGAAGTGTAAAAATAAAGCAGGATTATTGCTAATACAGGGAGACACAAATCTGTACTGCTTCGGTGTATGCTGGAAAAACCCTTGAAAACACTGATTTAACATCTGTGCCACCTCCTCTTCCTTGGCAGTGGCTTAGCAAATGGGTACCAGACCTAGCAGGATGATTAAGGGTGAGTGAGGCACTGATGCTTTTGGTCCAGACAAGAGCTGCCTCTGAAGAGCTGTTGGGGATAGGTAAGGGTAAAGTTTCCTTCTCTCCTTTGATTACACGGAGATTTTCCATGTAAGCAGATCTGGAACAGCTCTGCTGTGAAGACAGGCTGAGAAAGCTGGAAAAGAAGGCTTCAGACACACATCATTGTGGGCTTCCAGTACTCGAGAGGGACTTAAAAGAACGAGGTTTAGGGACTTTTTAGAGATGCAGGTAGTGATAGGACAGGGGCAAATGGTTTCAAAATAAAATGTCAGAGATTTAGATTAAATCTTGGGAAGAGGTTCTTTACTTCTTTACGTGTAATGGGGCACTGGAACAGTTGCCACAGAAGTTGTGGATGTCCCATCCCTGGAAGTGTTCAAGACCAGACTGGATGGGGCTTTGAGTAACCTGATCTGGTGGGAGGTGTCCCTATCTATGGTAAAGGGGCTGGAATAAGATGACTAAGGTTTCTCCCAATCCTAACCATTCTATGATTCTAAATTTCTACTATTTTAAGCAAATTTCATGCGGGGACAGTGTGTTTGGAGTTGTCCAGATCTGGTGCCCTTATAGACCTGAGACTGCTGCAGGTCCCTGACCCCAGGTCCAGTGGTGAGGCTATGCTTGTATCCCTACAGGTACACACCCATGTACATATGGACCCAATGGACTTGTGGGAACCCTGGTGTCTTTGCAGTCACAGCACCACTGACACGGGGGCCTCCAGGCCTGGCCCCAGCCCAGAGCCTCTCACTGAGCTCCCCCAGACAGGATAGAGCCACTCACACAGGAAAATAACTAGGAATGGTTAGTGAGAGAAAATAGTGAGAGGCCATGACAGTGCCAGTCAAACGCAGGTGCAACACAATGGTCCTGCAAGAGAAAAACGAGGAACTGTGCAGACACCAGTTGGCACTCAGTAACAACTCTCATGAGACTTCCTCCTCTGAGGAGGTCTCCGTTTTATTTGGTGTATTTGTGTCTCCTTCTGTTGGGATTTGAGCCATTGTCTGAAGGCGATGAGAAGGAGGAGGTGGTGTTGTGCTAGCTGCCACACCATGGGAAAGCAGAAGACTGAAACCCATCCTTCCCTCCAGCGTGCGTTCTAGGGAGCTGTGCCGAAGGACACGCAGCAGGAAGTCAATGCAGATGGTGAAATTAGACATGACTTTGTAGCCCATCACCATGGAACTTCCCAAGGCAGTGGGATGCCACTGCTTCTGTTTCCTCTTCCTAATTCTGCTTAAAATTTTTCACTCCTCAAATGCAGGGAGTTCCCACAGCTAGTGCTGGAGTCCAGGATTTTCTAGTCCTTCCACTGGCTGCCTTGGAAAGTAATTTATTTAAAGTGTCATAGAAAAAAGACAGGAGTCGTCTCTGACCCTCTGCCCAACTCAGTATCCTCTTGACCACATTAAAATATGGACATAGACCCTGCACAGAAATCTACAAGGCAGAAGAAACTCTCTGTGAAAGCCACAGCACAGGATTTCCTTATGTCCCTGTTCTCAGCCACCAGATGCATCTGATTAATGTGCTTGACTTCCTTACATGTGTGTGTTTAAACATGCTTATGATACCTTCAGAAAATAAAAGGGAAAAAATACAAGAAATAAGAAGTTAACCATTTTTTATGGAAAAAAATAGGTGAAGATATTGAATCAGGAATTATATTAACCATCCTAAACAAACACGGGAAGGAGAAAAATTTACAGAGTCATAAGACTAGCTTAGAAACAGAGAAGTTAAGCAGCATTTCACAAATCCCAAAATCCTTTGAGTTTTAGCCAAGTCTACACAAAATTCTTTTTGTACATGTCTGATCAAGATGGATTAAGAATAACCAGTAATTAAGTCTCCTTGGACTGTGAACCATGAAGTTGAATTTCTTTAGTCTACAATAGCTGTACCCTTTGAGGAATTCTTTTCCTAGACATTTCAAATCCCAGCTTCTACTTTTGAAATGTCCTGTATTAGCTTCAATCAATCACTCCAGACAAGTTATGTGACTAGTGTTGGAAGGTATAAGGTTATTTACTTTTTCCAGGAGTGGTGCAAGCTCTGCTGAACCTAGATGTAATTAGGGGGTAATACACTATAGGGAGTGTAGCATCTCATATTAAATAGATTATTTTTCATTGTATTTGGGAAAGTAAGTGAAGAATTTCCCAACATAATTAAAATAATGACATTCATTTGTATTTCTTCTTTTCACATGAAAATGTACGTTTCTCTTTTAAGGAGGGTCTTTACCTCCAATAAGGACAGAAGCATCAAAACCGTCATGAAAGATGTCCAGCCTGTACCTGACAGCCTGCAGAGTTAGCAAACACACATCCCCTTCAGGCCAGTTATTCTGATGCTTGCAGTTAGAAATGTTTTCCTCAGTTTAGGAGTCTACTCTGTCCAGGATATTTAAACTTCTCCTACCACTGTTAGGGCCAATACAGTCAATGTAGTAGGGAGAGCAATTCTTCTCATCTAGAAGTCCTTATGAGGTCAGTTGAATCACTCTCTAGAATTCATTGTCCTTAACAAAATGGGAATTTGGAGACCTAAAACATTTACAGATATCTACACAACAAAACACTTAAAGCAGATTCCACCTCATTACTCATTTGCCTGGACTTCAGACGCCCACCCGGGGCTGGCTGCCATGGCACAGGAGCTATGGACACCAGCATCCTTCCAGGGCAAATGGAGATCAGGTGTGATTCCCTAAAGAATTTCAAATAACACTAATGTTCAGGCAGTTGAACCCCAAACCTCCTGTCCGAACTTAATCACTCTTGTTTAAGACCACGCCAGGGTCTTGGAGACTGGAGGCAGCTAATTTTTTTTTTAAATACTTCTTTATATTTACCAGCTTTTATCATGGTTCCTCTCACTCTTTCTTCTATGAAACAGTGAACACCCGGTAAAAAAATGGTTACTTTAATCTTCTTTTTCCACACTGATGAAAATTCCTGTTGTCTTTCATGGTGTCTTTTCCTCTCATCCTCTTATTTTGCCTGAATCGAAACACACTATTGCAGCAGAGACTTTATCCATGCTGGCAAGAGTAGAAATGTTACTTAGCATACAAATGGGAACCCAGATTATGCATTCCAATAGCATGACCAAAATTGTTAATATCAGTAAAAAAGTTGAATCATTTTACCATTCACTTCTGCTAATATCATAAGGTTGTGTTAGATAGAGTTGTTAGATAACTGTTCAATGACAGTCCTCATGTAGTTATGCTGCTGGTTATTCCTAAATAAGATTGGTTCTTTTTACTGTCATTTGTATCTTGCTATTACATATTGCTACATAATATTATATAGTCTTCTTAAATCATATGTAGCATACATAGCATAATTTGATTAACATACAATGTATTATGTAGTTCTAAAATGTTATTTCTCATTGTTTCTCCAGTTTGTCAAAACCTTGTGCCATAAATAGTCTAAATTCATGAAAAAAACCCCATATGAAATGTAGCTCCACATTTTACCTGAAAAACATTTCCTTATTTGCTAAACATGCTATAAAATTGCCCAAACCAGAAGACTTGGGCAAAATAAGGATAGTAATATTAGTTAAACACCTTGCGTCACTACCTGATGATGAAACTGCTATGCATCATTTTTACTAATCAGAGGATATTATACAGCATGAGTCAGGCTGTCACTGATTTACTATCAGCTATATAAACACAGCTGAGAAGTGTGTTCAGTAGCTCAAGAGTGAAACTGAGGCAGACAGCCTTAGATGAGGATGAAGACCTTTACAATTCTCCTGTCACTGTATGTGGCCATCTCCTCCGCATTTCCTGTGGCTCCAGAAGCAGAAGATGAAGGAAAAACCCTACAGCTTGTAGAGGTAAGTATCTTTTTCAGTGCATATCTAAGGGAAACATAAGGTATTCTGAGAGATAGCTACAATCACAATTCACAGAATATGGGTGGAAACTAAAGATGTGCCATTTTGCAGAGATTTTAAGAGAAAGCTTTTCCTATCAGCCTAGAAAATGTGTGAAAATTATGTGAAATTTATTTACCCAGCAGTCATCTGAATATTGTACACTTCACTTTTGGTGGTGTCTGTAAAGTAATAACAAAACTACTGAGGCACGAGTTCTAGCAGCAACAGTCAAACTCAGAAGCAATTTGTATTTCAGAATGTGCTTTGAAACTTTTGATATGCCTGGTCTTAATAATATAAGGAAGGAAACTTGTTTGAAGCAAGCATGTTTTTCCATGCTTTGGCTGAAGAGATCTCTTGAAGAATATTTTGGAAAAAGGGAGCTCACATAGACACAACATAATTTGTTGTAGACAAAATTCTTGAAATTCGGTAGAAAGGCCTGAGTTTCTAGTCATATTCTGTAGCTAAAAATAAAATACATTGATTCACCAAGTCTGACTCTCTAGCAGTAGTCACTTGCTTTGGTGGGAGTCCTGGCTGTGTGGAGTGTCACTGCCAGCCTCAATTTCCTTGGATGAGACCAGTTATAAGCTTCCTTGTAAACTCTGTTGTTAGAGTAATTGAGCACAGTAAATAATGTAGAATTAATTATTAATAGTAGATATTCGATTTTCAAGACATTTCTTGATATATTTCATCAGTGACAACAAACAACAAATTCAGAAAGCTATAAGAAAACTGTACTGAAGAAAAGAGGCAGTTGTTGGCCCTGGTAAACACAGGGCATGTCAATGTGGGAATAGTTTAAGGCTACTTAGAAAATTTTAAGTGTGACCAAAGACAGTACTGATAAGTCACAATGTTCTTTTGTTTCTTTCTTTTTAACTCTGATTCAGAGTTATCTACAGAGTTTCTATGATGCTCCAAAGGATCCCCATCCCCATGTAAGAAGTGGTGGTGAAAATCCCCTTACTGCAAAGCTCAAGGAAATGCAGTTGTTCTTTGGACTAGAAGTGACTGGAAAACCTGATCTTGACACAATAGAGATGATGAAAAAACCCAGATGTGGTGTACCTGATGTACAGAAATATGTGTTCACACCAGGGAATCCCAAATGGAAAAGAAATAATCTGACATACAGGTAATCTTTCCAAATTTGGTTTAAAAAGGTATAAATCTAAGCCAACCTTGGGATGGGGGATCTGAAGGAATCATATTATGCCATATATGGACATAGGGAGAGATTCAGTGATTTCTGGAAGAAGACAGACACTTCAGAAGGCAGTATCTAAAACAAAGCTTTTAATAATTTTCATTCATGAAAGATAGGTCTAAGATTTTTTATTTTTTCACAAGTAATTATATTTCAGCTAAAATGCTGAAATTTCAACTATTTTCTAAACATTATATTATGTGTTGGGTTTTCTTTGCAGGCTTTTGAATTACACCCCAAAGATGAGACAAGCTGATGTAGATGAAGCAGTGAGAAGAGCTCTCAGTGTCTGGAGCAGTGTGACACCATTGACATTCCAAAAGGTTGAGGACAAAGAAGCAGATATCATGATCTCCTTTGCTTACAGAGGTAACAATGATAACACGGGATAGTAAGTACCCATCTGAAGTTATGGAAGTAATTTAGGATTTAAGCTAATCTTTTACCTCTTTGTTTTAGACCACCGTGACAATTCTCCTTTCGATGGTCCCAATGGACAGCTGGCTCATGCATTCCAGCCTGGTGAAGGTCTTGGTGGAGATGTGCATATGGATGAGGAGGAAGCTTGGACAAAAGATGGGCGGGGTAAGCTTTTGTAGCTGAATCTATATAGTTTTAACCTCACACAGTCTTACCCCATGTGATGTATACTATTTCCTGAGCCTGACTACAGGCAGGATAGTGAGCAAAAGGGACAGAGCTTTTAATTTGTAATTGCTTGCCCTTTCTTTGTTGCTGTTTTTTACAGCTACTTTTAGGCATGAACTTGAAGAAAATAGATTTTTTTTAGATTATAGTGGCATTTATAATGTCATATAAATATTTACATCATAAGGGTTTATAATGATTTTAAGGTCAGCACTTTAAAATACTCTTTTGTTCAGAGGAAAGCTAGAACTTGGATACAGGGAAATCTGTTGGTAGACTTCTGAAGGCAAATTCTTTCTTTTCCTTAACCTAGCACTTCAAAGTTTAGTGCTAACTAGGGTGTTCCAAGTATCACTGAAACTGTAATCTCACTGTTTGTTTTGAAATTTTTTCCTGTTGGATTACTGCCAACAGTTCCTCATCATGGACATGATCCTTGATGTGAGCAGGGGAAACAACTCTTGTTTAAGACAGAAGGACACTAGAGAAATGACAATGAGAACACAATTAAGACCAGACATTCTTTACATACTCATACGGCTCTTCTATAACAATGTTTTGTGTTTTTATGATGATAGAATTACTTACAGTCTCTCTTGTACCTCTAGTGTATATTAGTTTCCCATTTAGCATGGGGACTGATTTTCTGCTGTTTCATATGGATTTCATCCTACAGGCTACAATTTGTTCATTGTTCTTGCCCATGAGCTTGGCCATTCACTGGGTCTGTCTCATTCAAATGATCCTGGAGCACTGATGTATCCAACTTACTCCTACACTGACCCCAATGAATTCCTTCTTCCTCAGGATGACATTGATGGAATTCAGGCCATCTATGGTAAGAAATAATACATTTATTTAATATTTCTACATGGGAGGCTGGTAAATGGTAAAATGAAGGTATTTAATATTCCACCAAGATGAGAAGTTTATCAGTTTCTGAAAAATGGATAACAAAAGAGAGGAAATTCCTGGGAGCTAACTTCAGCTGAAGTCCAGTTCCACAAAAATCACATTTGGAAAAGATGAACACAACTGGTTTTATCAACATTAGAATTCTGCATTTAATGACAGACTCTTACTTTGAAATTATACCTTTTTTCGTTCTATATGAAATGTGTTTTCTGGGTCCTCAGAGACCTTCTGAACATTCTCCTTATACTTCTCCACACTAAATTATAAATATTAATCCTACAGGACCATCCAATGCTGCTGTGCAGCCAACAGGACCCGTAACTCCAGAAGCTTGTGACCCAAATTTGACATTTGATTCTATCACTACCCTACGTGGAGAAATATTCTTCTTCAAGGGCAGGTAACAACAATAAGCATATATATTATTCCTTTAAAATATTCACTACTTTAAAAAAATCCATGAGGGAAAACTGTCATTTTGGAGTGTAATAAAAAGAGAAGCACTAGAAGATCATTCTCAGATCAATAATCCAAAGAGCCCTATTTGACCAGAGCAGGGAAGGTGACAGGAGCTTGTAGGTTGTTTTCCAACTATTCCATCACTGTGCCCACTGCTGTGACACACTTATCTCTGAAATTGAGTCAAACAAACAGGAAAGCAAGGGCACTCATGTATGTGTTAGCAATGTGTCTGTGGGTCCCACACTCATCCTCAGTAAGGGAGCAGGGACAGAAGTGCAAGCACAGCCAGGCACAATGGTGTCTGAGCCTTATTGCCCTACAGAGAAGTAGGAGGTCTTATATTAAATTTCCTTAATTTTTAGCACATTCAGGTGCTAAAATTATGAACGTCTTTGCTCTAGAATTCTTTTACACTTAGTCGATGGCGGTATTCACATCTTCCCTCTGTTGTAGTCCAGGAGCTATAAGATTTATTTTGAATTTTTGAAGGGAGTGGAATTATTTTATGATTTAAATTTTCCTTAAAACAGATACATGCTGCGCAAGCATCCTGCAAGGACAGAGACAGAGCTCAACTTTATCTCACTGTTCTGGCCAAGGTTACCATCAGGAATTCAAGCTGCTTATGAAAATGTTGAGACAGACGAAATTACATTTTTTAAAGGTAAATGAATGAGAAGGTCTCCACTTTTTCTGACCTGTTACTTCCTGCTTCTTACAAATGCAGTTACAGAAGTTAAAGTGTTTTTAAGGAAGTAACACAGATAATACAATTCTGAAAATAACTATCAGAGGGTCATATTGCTGTAATGGATCTCCAGGGGTCATAATCTAGAAAAATTTCCCCTCTCTTATAGTTAATGCCCTGAAAAATCAAGTTGTGAAAACAGCTACCCGTCTTCAGGTCTAGTTCTCTTTAGGTAACAGCACTTCACTTTGTGCAGAAGGATTTTTACTGAATTCAATTGACAAATACAGGCATTCTAATGCTACAGTTACTGATATTTTTTATTAGTATTTGTTATGTTGAAAAAACAGTAAAAATACATTGGTGGAAATTGTACTGGGAGAAGAAAATTGTTCACTGAACTAACAATCAGTTTTTCTTTTTCAAGGTCACAAATACCCTTTAAATATCTCAAATAAATTCATTATGCATATACTATAGTACATTACCTATTCCATATACAAATAAGCTCATTGCATCTAAAATTACCAAAGCATTTTGATTAAACATGTGCTTTCCTCAATAGTTTAATTTGATGCACATTGCCTAGCTTTCAAAATGCCATATGGCTCTATAATCAAATAGCATATTACAGGAATTTAAAAAATTAAATATCCTAATCCAATGTCAATGGTTTAACTCAGCAAACTCCAGCCCTCCCCAAGTTGTTATCCAGAAAAATACCTTATATTATTTTTTTTAATTCTGGGAAAAGTTCTATCCAACACACCTCATGATTCTAATGTTTATTCATGAAAAAGAAAAGCCATTTCCCCTGTCTTCATGAATTAGTCCCAATGTAAGAATTATAAACATTTTCTAAAGTAGTAAACTGAAAGAAATAACGTGGACATCTAGACACATTGTCTTCCTGACATCTGAAACACAGGTAAATGTTTTTCTAAATAGCAAAACCAAAGGAAACTTGCTCATATTTTTCAGAGGATAAATATTGGGTCATCAGTGGATATGGTGTTCTACCTGGCTATCCCAAACGAATCTATCACCTTGGGTTCCCAAAGACTGTTAAAAGAGTTAATGCAGCTTACAATGATGAAACCACAGGAAAAACATATTTCTTTGTAGCTGACAGATACTGGAGGTAAGATTTAACGTTCATTTACCAGAAAACATGTTTTCATTTCCCTGGGGACTGATGTATTATTATATAGTTTGAGTGAATTGATGTTTAAACCAGGCATATTCCAGAAATTTAAATGTGTTTGTTTGGAGTTCAACAAAAATTAGGCATTTGCTAGAAAATATCATTTTTTCATCAGGATTTTCCCCCCCCAAACATTAGATTCCTGTAGCAAGATTATAAATGCTTCTACCTGAATGAAAAGCTACACAATAAAAAAGAGTCAGTTTCTAGTAGAATACTCACTTTTACTCCACAATAGTGCTACTTTTTTTTTACTATGTTGTGATAGTGTCGACTTTTAATGCACTTTTCAAACAGAATGAGTCATCAGTGCAAAATGTTGTCATTTAATTCCTCTATAAAGTAATTACAAATATTCTCAAATTTTAAAGCTGCTTGTATTTCTAATTGAAGCTCATGACAAATTTCGATTTTGTTTAAGAAGTCCCTCATTGACACTAATTCAGCTATGGTTCAGGTCTGTGCTACTGTCTTCTCCAAAGTTTTATGTTTTGTTTTTTTGTTGAACTGGATAGTCAGTGATTTGAAATAGAAATTCATTTTATGTGCAAGTGATGGCCAAGGCTCTGCTAGTCTAGAAATACATAAATAAATTTCTGAGCTGTGTTTCCAGGGTCCCTAGGAACATTGTGACAAACTTCACCATGGGTTGGTGTTTCAAATCTCAGAGAAATCTCTAAGAGAAATTTAATAAGAAGAATCAAAAAGCTACTTAAGTTAATCTTTATGACACTTCTTAGTAACAGTAGAACTGCATGTAAGAATTTGCTTTTGACTTTCAAAATATTGTCTGCTTCCTCATAAATTGTAATGACATTTCTTCTTCTAAGATATGATGAAAAGAAAAAATCCATGGATCATGGGTATCCCAGGAAAATAATCTCCGACTTCGGAAAAATTGGCAGAGTTGATGCTGCTTTCCAGAAAGATGGTGAGTGAAACTTACCTTTAACCTGTGTTTATGTGAATATTTGGGCTTCTACAGATAGAATATTTATTTTCAAAAATCTATTATTAACCTTAATGATAAGTAAATTAAAAATATCAAGTATACATGTTTATAATGGGGATTTTTTTATTTCCAAAACACTGAAAAAAGTCACCTATTAAATATAATTAATTTAAATTCTGCTTCTAGGTTATGTGTATTTCTTCCATGGAACAACTCAGTTCCAGTTTGATCCTCGGGCTAAACGGATTGTTCGACAAATGAAGAGCACCAGCTGGTTTAATTGTTAATTGCAATGTTTTTCCTTGTGCACACTGTATGTTTTTATCTGATGCATTTTTTTAGCATTTCATGATTCTGAGGTCTGAACAGATTTCTGTTCAAATTCTATGGCAGTATAATCTTAATAAGTATTTATTTTATGCCAAATAAATTTATATAATTTATCACAACTTCTCCTGTTACAGTCAAGTTTCCTAATAAATTATGTTTCTCATATAATTTTGTTCTTGATGTCTTTTTTGTCCTGATGCTCAAGAGCCAAGTTTATGTTTTGAACACTAAAAAATGTATTGTGGCAGGAAATGCCAGTTTTTTTCACAAAGACAGGGAAGGGAGGACACACTTATGTCTGAACTCCCCACTTCTCACAATCCCCGGCGAAAATCTGATGGTTAATTAGCTGAGGGTCATTATCATCAGTGTACAGATCTACTTCCACTTTATGTTCCTCTTTCCCCTACTTCTGCTTTTAGACTACTCTCCTGGGTGTATGTCTTTACAACTGTGGGCAGAGGGCAGAGGGGCAAGGTAGAAGGGATATTCTCATGTTTTGGGGTTTAGGAAATGGTTTCAAGTCCAGAAATGCAGACATGTAGATTAGAAAGGACTCTTGAGATAAGAAACAAGTCACTTGCCCTCAAAGGTAAGCACATCATATAATAAGCAAATAAACTTCTTTAATCAAGGCTCTTTCTACTCCCTTACTACTCCAGTAGTTAATAAATCCCACCTAATTCCAGCTAGTTAGAGAATCAAGAAGTTTGCTTAAAAGATAAAAATTCTTGGCCAAAAATATTTCTGGTACAAAGATTCATGAAAAGGACAGCTTGATTTCCAGCTTAATCACATTTTCTGCAAAACCCCTCAATTAAAATGGTCTTTGAAGGGTTATTCACTTTCTCTTCAGTCTTTGTAACTCGGCTGATAGCATCAGAAGCCATATGAACAGAACAAAATGTATTATATTTTATATCTGTATAATTCAACAGGCTTCAGAGGAAGGTTTAAGGTTGGAGTAATAAAAGTTAGTATATTTTGAGAAAATAATGTGTAGTCTCATAAAAACATATCTGTTTCATTTTTTAATTACTTATCTGTCTGTATTAGAAGGCTATTAAATTTTACTCTTCCTAAATAAAAAACAGACTTAGTAGTCCTTACTTTTATTAAATTCAGTATAGATCAGTCTCAACACTATTCAAAGATAAGAAATTGTATAATTGAAAATTAATTTGATCATATACTTTATAAAACCTAAGAAAATATTACAAAATATTAAAAATAAATTGCAGCAAATCAAAGGCTTTAATTAAGAAGCTAATTTATGTGAATTGTGTTCTCACGAGGTGTTTTATGTACTAGTTCTTTAATATCAAACCTCAGTAGCAATGCTATTGAATCATATCTTCTTGGTTAGCCAGTGCTACTGAATGACAATTAAACCAAAAGTCATTTTAGAAGTATATAAATCTGAATTGATTGTGTTGTGTTCTGCTTTTATAGCAGCAATCATCTGCAAATATTACATAATATTTACATGCAAAGAGAATATTTCTTACTAGAACAATTTATATTACAAAATAAAAAGTGGGAGCATGTGCTCCCTGCACATATGAAGTAAAAGCACAGGATCTCAAGCTGTTGTCAAAAGAGTTTCTCAGATTTAGAGCAGAATGCTACTCCCTCTCTAAAAACAAATAGTGGTGAGTACTCATGGGGCAGTGAAAATGTTACATGGGGATGAGGCGTAAGGACGTGGTTATATTTCAGAGGAAAAAGAGATAAAGGGGAATTTACAGACCATGGAAGATGAAGTTAAAAATAGGATGAAGTTTCGAATGCAATATTTTTAGCCCGTGCCTTTTCACATCCTGTCCAGTTTTTTAGTTGCCAGACACAATTTTGAAATTCACTTTGTGAATTTCCCATGAGCAGGGAGAGCTCAGAATGAAGCGATTCCTTAGTGAGAAATCTGCCCCGTGCTTATGTGAGAGAACATTTTCTCTGCCTGCGGGAGCGCAGCGATTGCTCCATCCCAGCTGCAGCATGAGGGAGGGCACAGCTGGGGCCAGCAGCTCTCGTCTCCCTTCAGGCACAACGCAGGCTTTCAGTAATTAGGAATTGGGGTGTTTTGTCCACAAAATTGCCTGTCATTTTCTTTTCCCCTTTTAATAAGTTTACCTCTATTTGCTAGTTCCTGTACTATGTTAAATTATTGTAGCCCTCCCCAGGGTCTTGCTGCGGGTGTGGTGTGTAATGGTCGACCCTATCGCCAGCAAGACAGATTTGCCCTGCCAGGAATTCAATTCCCTAAATGTGTTTAGTGCATTTGCAGTTCTGTAAGGTCTCCCAGCAACCCATGCAGCTACAAAACAGGACTGCCAGGAGTCCATCACTTCCCAAAAGCCCACAGAGACCACACTCTCTCTAGAGACCTGTGTTGGCAGGGATGAGTCCTGCCCTCACACCCTGCAGTCTGCTATAAGTCCATCAAAAGTCAGACATGGACCCTTTGCCCCATGTTTTTCACTCAAGCTGAGTAACAATTCAATTTTATTGGTTCTGTGGAAGGATTGAGCCTGAAGAGCAGTGGTGCGACTCTTCTGCCAGAACAGTTCTCAAGTGTCATGAAGGTGCCTAAAGGTTTCCAGCTGGCTTCCAACTACCAGTCTAGAAGCCACAGGTTCCCTGTAGGTTCTGGATCACAGCCACCAGTGTGGCTTTCTTTTTAGAGATCTGTCTATGTTTTTAAATGGATATATTTGTTTGTCTCAAAGGTTTCCAAGCTACAAGGAATGACCATGGTGCTACAGTCTGATTATATTCATGCATATGTCTCAAAAGAGAAACATTGTTCAGGGCTTTTGCATTAAACATATTTTCCCATGGCACTAGAATATATTTTTGGAAAACATGTTTCAGCTGATATGAATTTAATTTTGTAGAAAAATCAAAAACTATGGGCAGATTTGATATGAACTTGGAGAAGTGGCTTTCCTGCTTCCCACTGTGGCTGGATATCAGATCCCCACAGCTGTCTGCCTGTAGCAGTGAAGGACAGAGACAATAAGAGCAGCTAGGTTAATATCAACTGCATTTAACTTTATGTATTTATTTGTTAGGTTTTTTTTCTACACGAAACAGAGAAATACATATCTTTGGAGAGTGATTCAATCAACTGTCTTAAAATGGGGTCATCTGACCTCTACAATGCCTTCATTCAATCTAGAGAAGTAGAAACTAGTAATTTAGACTCCATTTTTAGTTTCAGTAAACATTAGTGTTCCCTCAGAAGACATTTGAGTGACAAATAATGGAGATCTACATCACAGAAAATGCCACCAGGGTTTTGCAACATGGCCATCTACATAACACAGCAGCCAGTTCCCACTGCTCAAGAGAGAGACACCGGAAAAGGTTCACAAGTGATGTTTCACAAACATGTCTATAGCTGGCTGTGGGGTCTGGGAAAAGAAGAAGCTGTATAAGCAGCTTCTGGTTATGGTTTCCTAATGCTTATCTTTGACATTTATTAGAGTTGGTGGATGTTGAACTACCTCATGACTTCTTTTCTCCTCTTAGAAGACAGCAGCCATGTGACCTCTGTTTTAACCCAGAAAGTTCACTGCCTATCCTCATCACATCATGAGTACTAATGATGTTACACAGAGCATCCCAGGAACCAGAAATAGTGCTGCAACATGGCCCTGATCTTAACACTATACCAGTAAGGACTCAGCATTACTAACTGTTCATAACATGGGTATCTGTTAGGTAGCTGTCTAAACGTGCATTATATCAACAAAAATCTAATCAATATGGTCAAATACATACAGAACTGTAAGGGACCCATACAATATAATAACAGTAATCAAGAGAAGGGTTTGTTGTTTTTTTTTTAAGTAGCTGAGAATTGCCTTTAACAAAAAGTTTAACGAGGCTATTGGGATGAAAAAATTCATCATTAATGCCTCCAGATGGAGAAAAACTGGCTGGAAGGGACGGCAACAAAGCTAAAAAATGAAAGCATAGATTTTCTGAAAAAGCTACGGTCCAACATGAAGGCATTTCTCTCAACAGTTTTGTAAATGAAGAGTATGTGCTGTGAGAGCTCCGCTGAGGTGCTGAACACCTTCATCTCCCTTTGCTACCAGTGGAAGAGGAAGGCACTTCGCTGGAACAAGGTGAAATCCCATAATTTATCACAGCCTGTGTGACTCTTGGAACTTCCCTTATTCTGAATTACTTAAGACAGGAAATAATCATATGCCCTGCGGCTAATGTGGTTAAACTGAAAAAACCCTTCAGTGATGAAATGGCAAGTAGGAAGGAAGATAGATAGATAGATAGATAGATAGATAGATAGATAGATAGATAGATAGAGACAGGTATAAACTTTTTCACATTCTTTAGGCTCAATTTATAAGGTAAAATCAATCTCATTTATGTATACCTTGGATTCCACCAGAATAATTTTTTAAAAACACACTGTTTCAAAAAGTTGCCAGAAAGAAGCAGGTAGGGAAATTATATTGTTATTCATTTTCCATAACATTCTGTCTCAGTTTATTAATCAATTTGAAAAGAAAATATTCTGCTTACAGTAACTTCTCACAAAGTTTTGTTTTGTTTTTTAAGGGATTCATACCTCATGCACAGTTCCCATTTTCTAGGCTGAGAATGTAGAGTACCCTTATATTTGGTGATGCCATTTCACACAGGTGTGTTGGGACAACTTACAAGGTTTTGCATTTGTCCACCACTTAATCTGGCATGAAATTGCTCAGGTTTGTCAAAACCAGTGTAAAATACCTGAAACTGAGTACTAGTTATGAAAGGATAGCCAAGGGAAGGGCAGACATATTCGAATTCCAACTGACTTTAGATGTCTGTGAAATCGGATGGGTTCAATTAAGTTTTATTGTGTCAGTCTGCACAGTGTTATGGCTTGTGTGGAGGGAATCAGAGCATGATGAGCTCTGAGTCAGTCTGCGGCTGACTCCCCAAAACACCCCATAACCATTTGAGCCAGGACGTGAGAAAGGAGGCACATGGAGCAGAAAGCAGACAGCTCTCCTACCAGGGCAGGCATGAGAGTGAAAATGAAGGCTCTTTCACTTTGGCTGGTGACATGCACAGCTGTTTCTAGTGCTCTTCTCATCCGCCCAGAGAAGGACAGTGAAGAAGATGCAAAGCTTGTACAGGTAACTGCATTCTCCATATGTGAGAGCTATTGACCCCTCTATTTCTAGACCTATTCTGTGTGTTCCAGCTGCACAGCAGCTTGCTGCTTTTCTGAGAAAATGCTATTGCACAGAACTCTGTTGCCTGAACTTTACTAAAGTAGGCTAAATCTGTACGAATTGGAAATGTTAAGTAAATAAGAGTCAGCACAATGTTGTCTGTTTCTGTTTAGCTACGATCCTCAGGAAAACATCTGTTGTATTCCCAAATCACAGGCAGAAGGTTTTGCCAGCAAGCTATGCAAACAACATCAGTCCTAAGGTATTTATTTGTTCAAGAAACAGATCAAAATGTGAAACGTGTCACTTTTTTTTCACTAGAACTATTTGAATAAATTCTATGCTGTTGAGCCAGATCCAAATCAACTTGGATGGAAAATAAATGCTGAATCTGCAGCTGAAAAACTTCAGAAAATGCAACAATTTTTTGGTTTGAAAGTGACTGGAAAAATGGATAATGAGACATTGGAAATGATGAAGAAACCCAGGTGTGGAGTTCCCGATGTGGGTCTCTATGGCTTCACTCTTCCCGGATGGAAAAAAAACAAACTGACATACAGGTAGTATTTCAGTAATTACTTTTTGAGTTTAAATTTCAGGTTTGTGGGTATACAAATTTGCTATACTTAAATATAACTTCTATAGCAATTGTTTCCTATTGGAAATACAAAAATGTTTTTCTCTCCACAGCTGTTAGCTATGCATGGTCCTGAGAGGAATTTCTGAAAACTAAGCTGGGTATTTTACATTTGCTGGTTTAGCCATGGTATTTTGCCTGTCATGTATCACTCCTGACAAATATTCTGTAAGCCAAACAGAAACATAATTGCACCCTGTACAAACCTCATTATCTTTAAAATTTGTTGAGATAATAGTGTAGTAGTCACATGGAAACCTGAGGAGGTAACTCATGCTCAAGTGACAACCTCCTGGCTAAGGCCCATTTTAAGAAAAACATGATAATGTGTACACAACTGGTTTTTTGTGAAAAACACATATTGGACAATTATCACATACCCAAACACACTCAGTTTTCACATATCAAACTCACCCAGCCCAAGATGGATCTTGAGAACTATTTGCTTACAGGTTATATTGGGTTTTTTTATATTTTCTGTTCATCTTCTCAAACATATTAGGGATTTTTTTCCCTGCAAATACTAAATATTACACTTGAATTCTCATAACTGTAGAATTGTGAACTACACACCAGATATGAGCAAGGAGGATGTGGATAAAGCAATTCAGAAGGCTTTTAAAGTGTGGAGTGCTGTCACCCCGCTGGCTTTCACTCGCATTCATAAGGGAATAGCAGATATAATGATTGCTTTTGGAACCAAAGGTAATATGAAAACTGCATCCAATGATAAAACTAATTAATATATTTTTCAGTAGTCACAACCTAAGTTTAATGTTGTGCCAACTTCATATCATTTAGTTCATGGACATTGCCCTCGCTATTTTGATGGCCCCCTTGGAGTTCTTGCTCATGCCTTTCCACCTGGCAATGGTTTAGGCGGTGATGTGCACTTTGATGAGGATGAAGACTGGACCACAGGCTCAGCTGGTAGGTTCAAAAAGGATTTCTAAAGTGTTATGCAGATGAATAAATTCCATTCTGATTTTATTTAAGTGAGGGAAGAGACTGAGATGAAACACTGTACCAGGTGAGCAGTTTGAGGATATTACAGGCTGTCCTCCAACTGGGACACTTACAATGACATAGACATAAACTCAGCTAAATCTACTCTAGTCCTTATTTAGCCCTAATACAAATACCAACAGGACAATCCTTTTCAGGTAGAAATGCCAGACACATGGCCACTCTTACCTGGGGGCTGGTAGTGGCCCAGAGTTTCACAACCCTTGATAAAAGCTTTCACTTTTCACCTCCTGGTGCACACCACGTGCTTTACAGCAGCCGTCAGAGGACATCCCCACCACCTAAAAATCAATACAGCCACCAGTGATAATGAAGAGTCTTCACTAAAAATTCCAGGGTAGGTCCAATAGGCAGCCAAGAGGGGAGCACTGAGTGCCTGGGACACATCTGCTCAGCCTCTGGCTGGCCATGCAGCACGTACTGCCTGGACATGTCCATCAGTAGGATGGACAGGCACATTGCCCTCTGCTACTCCAGATCCCTTCCTATTCCACTTTCTGAGAAGGAAAGCTGCCACGAGAGAACTGAAGTCAGCAAGAGCAAGGAGCTAAAAGGCAGAAAGGCACCATAAAACCACTGCACAAGGAGGAGAGTGTGGGTTTACTGTGGTGGGAAAAAAAGAGAGGGATGAGGGCTAGATATGTCATGTGATTAAATGTCATATTTTCCCCATACTGGGACTGAACTGGTCAACCCCAATTTTTCTGCTGTTCCTCAGCAGCACAGCTCCAGCAGCCAGACATTGCAGAACTTGGAGCGCTTGGAAGGTTCATGAGAGGGGAAGACTGACTGGAAATACGTGTGGAAAAAATGAGGCTTTATTTTGTTTGGGTTTTTGAGAAATGAGTGTCTTGGCTTCAGCCAGACTTTCTTGGGCAATTGATGACCAGTCCCCTCCTCTGCCACAGGCTTGTGATCTTCATTAAATCTGTTGGCATTTCTGGATCTTGGTCTGCAGAGCAGATGATCATTCTTCCCTAATTCAGAAAGACGTGTTACTTGGAGGGATGCATGTTGAAGGAAATTCCATTTTTATTTATTTATTGTGTTTACATATTTCACTGGGAATAAGCATGCAGAAGCATAATATGTTGAAAATCTATTTTGTTTGACAAATCTCTAAAGCAACCGTATGCTTTAAAGTCCCAACAGCAGAAAGGTAAAGCATTCTGCTAGCATTTTATTTTTCCTTGTCTATTCATGATTTCACCTTTCTTTCTCGGGTTTGTAGGAGGGAGAGTGACACACAGAGTGACACTTTGATACCTGCAGTGAGCACAGAGTGTGTCTTCCTGCCTTGCCCTGGAGAGCTGTTAGTTTGATCTGACTCACTATCTAATCTGTTCTACCTCAGCCAGTAAACCCTGCCAGGACATTCCAAAGGGCTGCACCCACACTCACCCCCAGATATCTACTCATGACACACGCACTCTTTCAGAAATCAAGAGGGTCAAAGTCTCTCCCCTCTAGTGGGGAAGACCACAATCTTGTCCTATACAAAAATATGTTCATATAGATGCTTTCCCAAGTGAACATCAATATATTGTATGAAAACTGCAAATGAGCAATAGACCGAGTGTGATTGTATCAGCGATTTACTGAGTAAAATTTGACTGATCTCTTCTCTCTATCCATTTCTTAAGGGTTCAACTTGTTCCTTGTTGCTGCTCATGAGTTTGGCCATGCCCTGGGTCTCTCCCATTCTAATGACCAGAGGGCTCTCATGTTCCCCAATTATGCCTATGTCAGCCCCAGTGAATTTCCCCTTTCTCCAGATGATATAAGTGGCATTCAGTCCATTTATGGTGAGTAAAATCCATGGCCTCAAAAAAAAAGGTAAGCCAAGGAGAAATAATCTCTTTATAATCTCTTTCACAACGTTTCACCATAAATGTAATCATATTGACATAATATTTAAAAAAAAAAAAAAAAAAAAAAAAAAAAAAAAAAAAAGCTAGGTGTGGAAACCTTAATATTTCTACAACTTGGTGTACTCTTTCCAAAATGTGTCCCTCAGGATCCCCACCAAATGCCCCAGACAAAAGGCCAACTACCCCTACCTCACCTAAAACCTGTGGCTCCCAGATGTCGTTCGATGCTATAACCACATTCCGACAAGAAGTCATTTTTCTAAAGGGCAGGTAAGTACTGATATGACATTTGTTTGCATGGGATTTAATTTTTCTTAATTTGTACAAAGACTGAATACTTTTGTGGTTCTCATGTTTATGGGATATAAAATTCATGGAAATAAAACTTTTAGCAGGTATTGGATGTATTAATATTTTCACAGAATCTCCTGAAAAAGCATGTTTCATTCTTTTCCAGAAAACACCTCAGTCCCAATGTGACATAATTCCCAAATATATAGATGGTTGCACTGAGTAATGTGCAAATGTTTCCTGAAAATCTCATTAAGGTTTGGTTTGGAAGGTACCTCAAGGTATCCAAGCAGGGACACTTCCCACTAGACCAGGTTGCTCAGAGCCCCATCCAACCTGGACTTGAATATTTAATTAAGTATTTAATTAATTTTACTAATCTAAGAACAAATAAGTATGTTTGACAATACAGTTGAGCCCATCTCTCTTCCAATCACCTCTGCAAGCCAAAAATCATCTGGGGAATTCATCTGCTGAAGAGGTTACAGTATGTCCTACCTGGGCTCCTATAACCCTCTTACTGTACAGTTCAGGAATAATCTAAAATATTCAGCTGCTTATAACTGATTCCATTTATCAATCAGCATCAATGAATTGCCAGAATGAAGACAGAATAATAAAACCAAACACTTTCCATCACAGGGAAAAATAACAGGGAGTTATTTCCTTTTCCTACATCAAGCCAGGTAGCTCCACTGACAAGAAAGAGCTTGTAAGCCACAATGTTGTTCATATTCTTTTACACGTATAGAAGTTTCTGTGCTTTGTTGTGTACTACAAAACCTGTTTCATATTTAAATCAGGCACTTATGGCGGGTATATCCTGATAACTCAGAAGCTGAGCGTGAATTAATTTCTGACTTCTGGCCAAATCTGACTCCTGGTATTGAAGCTGCGTATGAGAACACAAAAGATCAAATCCTACTTTTCAAAGGTAAAGTATGAGATTTTCTTTAACTTTTTTCTTAATTTAATTATGTGGGAAGAAGGAATGTGTGCATAAAATTCACTTTTCAAATAAATAAAATTAAAACTCAGAACACTTCAGCTAGTTTTCCTACAACCTACAATAGAGCAGTGCATTTTATCATTTACTGTCTGAAATTGAGTGGTGAAACTAAATATTTTAATTTCTCTTAACAGGCACCAAATTCTGGGTTATCAGCGGGTATCAGGTGTTGCCTGGTTATCCAAAGAATATCAACACACTGGGCTTCCCTAAAGGTGTCAAGAAGGTTGATGCAGCTGTTTGTAATAAAAATACGGGGAAGACAGACTTTTTCATAGGTGATAAGTACTGGAGGTAAGAAGAATCAACAAATGTTTTCCTATGAATGACTGATATAATCTGGATTAAAAAGTGTCTATAAAAGATAAAGTAGACCTTTTAGGTAACTGCATGTAACTAGGTAATCCTAGTAATCCTACTTTTCATAGAAGCATTTCTTTGACTCCTGCAAGGGATGAAGAGTATAGCTTTGTCTTTTGAGACTTTAAGGGTGTCCTGAAGTAGGCATTCAAAATATGGACATGTTTCGATACATTATGCCTGGAAGCTGAAAAAACCCCAGCATCTAGAGAACTTCCACAAATACAAAAGTGTCTCTGAAAATTAAAGATCAAAGCTAACCCCCTTCAGCAGAAGGCTGGCTGTGATGGCTTGTGCAGGATTTCTCTGGTTTCTGAAAAGTCCTGGATTATTTTATCCCTTTCAGAAAAAGGAAAGTGAGAGTTCCTTTCCTGCTTTCCACATGTACCTTCTAAATCCTATTCCCAAACTGGCGCGAATGAGTCCTGATACGCAAAGAGCAGGCAGGTGGAAAAAAGAACTCAGTTTTGGGAACCTGAAAGATTCTTTCTGTGTGCAAGGACAGTGGAACAAAAGTCTTCCTCAGGCAACCAGGGCAAGCGTGGGTCACACAGATTTTGTGACTAATTGTGGGGTTCCTCAGTGATACATACAGTGTCAGCTGGATTTTGAGATTCCTGTGGTTTCCTGTTTTTTAGTTTTGATTAATTTGGGTAGAGTATTTAGAGTATCTTGCCTTGTTATTTTACTGCCTTGGTCACAAGACAACAGCATGCAAGAAAACTACAATGCATTTCTTACCTAGTAACTCATTCCCTCAGCCTCATGTGCCTGTGAAAAATATTTCTTGTATCCAAGGAGAAGTAAAACAAACGCTTTGTTTGCTTGGGTTTTTTGTTGTTTTTATTTTTTCCTGAAAGGGTTCCTCAAATTTGGAAGAACATTTTAGGTTCTCCTTTCAACTCCCTTAATCTAGCCTCATCTCATAAAAATTGTCCTGGCTCAGTTAGGAAGGACTTGATTGTATTAGAAATAAGCCAGCTTCCTTGCCTCCATCTAAATCTGTCAGCTAGTAGAGGACTATGTACAATATCTCATCAAAGTCTGAGAGGAGGAGTCAAAATTCTCTCTTAAATATGTGCTATAGCAGGAATGAATCTGTCCAGTTTCCATGCACTCTCTATCACACTGTAATCATGAGAGGAGGTAAATCCCACCCCTGGAGTCAAATATGTGGGTCTTCCCTCAATTTTTCTCTATTAGGATGCTTCTTTGGAAAACACAATGGCCAGCATCCTGCAGCCATTTGTGGAAGTAAATAACACAATTTTATCTTGCTACCCCAGTGAAACCAATTAAATTGCATGTGGTGGGCACATTTTAAAAACTTCTGAACTCTGTGCAGAATTGAAGTCTAAACTCTGGAAAACTGCATGTCTCCTTTCATATGATTTAGGTTTGATGAAAACAGCCAGTCCATGGAGAAGGGTTATCCTAGACTGACAGTTGATGAATTTCCAGGAATTAGTCAGAGGGTTGATGCTGTTTTTCAACAGAAAGGTAAGCGAAATGAGCTTTCAAGTAAAATCAGTTTAGTTCTAAAGATCTTAAGTTCTGAAATTATGATGAATGTCATTACTGCTGCATCCTGCAAAAGATAGAAATAAAGAGACATTGTCCTGTGTGTACAAAGGTGATTTGTCAAAATGAAGCTATTTTTTGTACCCATAACATAATGCTTTACTTTTTCATTTCCAGGATTATTCTACTTCTTCCATGGATCAAAGCAGTGGGAGTTTGACCCTATTGCTAAAAAAGTTATCAGAGAAATGAAGAGTAACAGCTGGTTTAACTGTTAGTATCATTAAACTTTCTTACATTCAGCAAAAGACAATAAATACCATTCCAGAGATCTCAGAAACTGCATTCACACTGCTCTACAGAATAAGCAACAGGACTAGTTTTCATAAACGCTTTTCATGTATTTTAATAAATTAACATATCAGTTCAAATTTTATTTTCAAAGACTAGAACAAAATTGCATTTTTCCCATAAGTGGAAATTGTAGAAAATAATTTATTACTTTATTCTCCAGATGGTTTGGGGATTTTTTAAGTATTATGGCAATAAACACTTTTAGGTTGATGGCACCTATTTTGTGCTTCATCTGTTGAAGGCATGCTACATTTCTGAGTGTGAAAGGCTGCAGGTTAATATGCTAATATCCCTTCAGCATACAATGTTTGTACTTTGTCTCTTTTCTCTCCAAAGAGCAAGGTTCTTTTCTCTCCATCTGCAAGACACAGTCTTTCATTAGTCACTTGCTTTTCTGCATTCTGCAGAAGATGCATTTTCCTGCAGCTTGTCCTGCTCTTCTTTGGCTGTTGCAGCCTTGTCCTTTTCACACCACAACAGTACTTTGCCACCAAAATCACCCTGAAGTCCCAATGTCTAAAGAAATTATCTCACCTGATAATCACCCTTATCAGTCTTTATAGCATAACAATTAACATTTCATCACTGTCCACATTTTCTGAGCAATGAATTACATCCTTCACAAATCAGCCCTGCCCTGTTCAAGAGCAGATTCAATTGCCATGTCATGGAGGGCAACCTTTACTCTGCTGACACAAACCATGAGCTTTACATACATCTGACACTTATTGAATGTTGCCATGCAATCTCCTCACAAAATCAGACAATATCTGTAGAGTCACAGTCATATCCTCTCCAGGTATTTCTTTTACATTTAGTTCTGGAAACAGGCCCAGAACACACTGACAAATTGTTGGCCATACTCCGTGCATGGGTGGGGATATCTGAGAACCTGGCCTCAGTACTGGCTTGCCCTGCTGTTCCCCAGTTCTCACATGTTTGTCTGTTTTACACACCTCTCGCATGCTTTAGTAACATGTTTCATTTTACTGTGTATTTTTATGGCAATGCAATGACCCCAGCATGAACCTTGCCCACCTGATTTGCTGTAAAGAACAGCAGTATCACCATGTTGCTGCTATTGCTGTGAGAAACCCACTGGCTTTGGTCCCACCAGGAAATCAAAGTAAAGGATCAAATGTGATGTTTCACTAATCTAGAAGTCTAATCCTGGTGAATACCATCACCATTTAGATCCCCAAGAAAACTTAAGCCTAAAGTGTTGTGGTACAGTAGATACAGTAGGCATTTGATGGAGATTTATCAGACTGCTTTAGCTTACTGTCCAGATATATGAGTTAAGGAAGATCCCTGCACTGAAAGAAGAGGAAAACATTTTCCACAATGTTACTCATCTCATCTCATTTCACCTCATCTCATCTCATCTCATCTCATCTCATCTCATCTCATTCAAAGACTATACTGGGGCAAACCAGTGTCTTCAGCCTCCAGAGAAAACATCTTTTTGCAGAGGAAGGCTACCCAACTAGTTTAGAGTAGATAACTTTCAGATAGATAAGGCTGTGTGGCATTAATAGTATCTTTGATGGGTATCTTTCAGTTTTTATTCAGAATAGGACATCCTACATTTCTCCTCTATGATGTTTGCTTTTTTGACAAGTTACAACAGCAGCTTGTTTATCACCACAAGCCAGTGATAAAGTTGTCTGAAGGCACCTGCTTGCACTGCCACTGTGGAGTGCTTGTGGTATTCCACACAAAAAGAGCAGAAAATGCTGGAGGCAGGTGAGACAGAGACGATTCCTCACCTATTTCTGTATTTTCAGTCTCCTTAAACTCCAGCATTCAATTAAATTGATGGCTGTGTAGTAGAAAGCAGAGTTTAACAGCATAGTCACGGAAGCTGCCAAGTTACACCCAAGTGTTTCTACTCAGAGGCAAGATTACTCTTTCACACACAGTCTGCTCAGTGTGTAAGGTGACTGTAATTTTAACTTCAATAAATGTTTAATCATTGAGTCATAGAGGAGATTATTCAGTTCTTTGAAACACATAGGCAAGTTCCGCTGTCTTCAGCTATATAAATGGACACCATAGTTCCCCTATTCTCCTTCTTCTCTCAGGTGAAACATCGTTTCATAATTTATATAAATCCCTGCTCTTAAGGCAAGTTAATCTTTAACAGTGAAATGTAGCTGAATAAGTTTTCTCACTGGCAGCTCTGGCATTCTGTTAAACCAGTGTGGGGTTCATGTTCATGGGTTACCTGTGAAAATAAATAAATCGATAAGTATTGCTTTTCCTTTATTTGCAAAGAAGACCTAAAAAGTCATTCCCAACACAGAAATACTTGACTTCAAATAAGTTGTAACATCTTGGTCACTCAGTTTTCCCTCTCTGATTGTCATTTCATTGGAGGAGTAGAGAAACCACAATAGGAGTGTCAAAACAGGAAAGTGCATACTGTTGATCCTATCCTTCCATCCCTGCCAGGAGCCTGGACAACGTGGGATTGGACTTCACCATATCATCCCACAACCCTGAAGAGTTCCCAATGCCTCTCCCTCTCTCTTATGCCTCCCATAGCTCCTCAGAATTCATATCCCCATGCTATATGTAGATATCTAGCTGGGTAATGCTGTGTAGTTATCTGTGGGGTGAGCAGCCACTGGCCCCACAGCCCAGCCCAGGGATGAATTATCTGTCTTCCCATCAACAGGGGTTTTTTCTCCTCTAGCCAGCTGTTATTTTCCACAAAATCAGTGGAATTGTGGAATTTCAATTTGGCTTGGAAAAATCGGCCAGTACCTTCAGTTGCTGAGGGACCAGCTGGACACACAGACACACAGAAAACAGTGGTCAAGCTGAAATCATTTTCTCAGTGTTTTACTAAACAGTTTCCTTAGTTTCCACTGCAGATTTCCATTCAGTTGTATAATATGGTATTCCTCCTACTGTTGACAAGAGGAGTTTGAGAGGGTAGACAAGGAAAGGAGGAAATGACATATAAAACTAAGGAGACAGCTAATCCACGCTTGTCTTTCCAATTGTTTCATATCACTCAGAAACAGGATCATTTGCTTCTCATCCAATTAGTGGTTATTGACAGCTGTTTTGCAAATAAATTATAAGATCCTAAGATGGTGAGACTGAACTGAAATGAGGAAATTACACATCCTAATGTAATGTGTTACTGAGGCACACAAACTACAACATTCCTGGTAGATTGTCCTGAAAAGTCCTGCTCACTTCTCTTCCTGCAGGAGCCTGATCTCCTGACACTGCTGTGGGAGTGTTTCAGCCAGCAGAGTGGGGCAGGAGCTATGTAAATACTTGCTAGAGCAAAGTTGAAAAGCCACATCTTACCCTTTCAAGTGAGCAATTCTTCCCTTTGCTCTCAGGTGACAGACAGATACCCCAAAAGCCTTGAGAAAACTGATACTGAATTGTTTTTGAGGGTTTGGTACCTTAAAGGAAGAAAAAAGACAAGTATGGGAGTTAACATATAAAGAAAGAACTTGTTATTACCTGGCTGTACATAACCATTCCTCCCTGCACTCGCTCTTAACTTCATGACCCTTGCTGCAAATTGCCCAAATCCTGATAACAGGAAAGGAAGGTGTAAGGCTTGTTTAAGTGTTGATAGCCAACATGCTCTTTAAACTTATGAAGTTTGAACCCTTTTGAACACTGGTCCATCAGATATGCCAGAGCCATACCCAAAACAGAACTGAAACCCAGTACAGACATTGCAGGTGCTGAAACAGGACATCAACAGTAACTGCAGATGAGTGCCACAGTGCAGATGAGGGGCCTGGCCAAAAGAGGGAGAGCACTTTTCTGAGGTCTACACACACAGGCAGAGAGCCTTGCAGGGTGAACACTTTTAATGCCAGCCATCTCAGTGATCTTACTGAGTGTATCTTGCACATGTGCTTTGCAGACAGGATCTAGAGGTTTGAGATGTGGGTTCTGTGGTTCTGACTGTAAATCAGACCTTTTCATGGTCTGTCTGCATTCATTGATTAAATCAACTTGGGATAAGGAATATCTGTCACATTTTTCCTCAGGCATCCCAGGCTTCATGTGTTTTTATGGTCTGTAAGCACTGTATCTTGCTAACTTTGGTAAGTTAGTGGACACAGATCCGTAGATCCATGTGTGTGTTTGTGAGCTCCTTTAAGTACCTTGTCCCCATATGGGTGTGTGTGGGTCTGCACAGGCTCTGTAGGGCTCTGCAGCCTGCAGGGGCTAAAGGAGCAGGAAAGGTGTGGAAATGCCTTCTCTGTATGATAGGAACAAATGCTGCTGGTGGAACCGAGGGCCGTACAACCTCCACATTAATGAGCAGCACAAGGCTCCAAACTATCAGATAAAAATCCAACATAAGCTCCTAAAGATTAGGTCTGAGTCTGGGGTGGGTAACTGTCTCACCTAGGTGAAGATAGTGATTACTTTTGTAGCATTTGCTGCAGATAAGAGAGGTTAGCACAGGCCCCCAAAGAAAATGGTGCTTCTTGCAACAGATCGGAGTAATGAACTTCACCTTGCTGAGCACAGCCTAGCCATTCCCATGGATACAGCCCGCAGGGACCTGTCAGCACTGCCCGCTGCCCCTGCTTCGGGGTCCCCTGCTCTGGGAGTGGGGGCTCACCTCTGCTGCCCCAAGGTCACAGGTGGCACCCAGAGCTCACAGGTGGCACCCAGAGCTCACAACTGGCACCCCATGGCCGCAGAAGCCACCCAGTGGTTACGGCTGGCACGCGAAAGTCACAACTGTCACCGCGCACAGGATGTCACCCAGGGCTCACAGCTGCCACCTAGCGCTCACAGCTGGCACCCCGCGCTCACAGCTGGCCCCTCGTGCTCACATCTGGCACCCCGCGCTCACATCTGGCACCTCGCGCTCACAGCTGGCCCCTCGTGCTCACATCTGGCACCCCGCGCTCACATCTGGCACCCC